GCTGGACAAAGCCTTGGGGATCCTCCCAGCCACGATACACAGACTAATTCAAAATCGGTGATGCAAGGGAACAGGTATCTTTGCCTTTTAAGTTGTGCCAATGAGTATCCCGGTCACTCGTTCATTTGCTCATTCATTGATCGTGATTCAAGGATTTGGCCATGGTGATTTCAATCTCCCAGTCTCCCTCAGCTGTCTTCTAGTTAGGTGGTCCTTTTTGGGGGTCTGACCTACATTTCCACTCACAGTTCTAAGTCAGTCAATTAGTATGTGGTTGTTGAGCACCTAAGTGCCCAGCACAGTGCTGGGAAAAAGGGAAGGGTCAGGTCTCATGGGAGAGACAGAGCATGCCCTTGGCCAGGGAAGGGAGAACCAGGCTCACTCCTGCTGTGAGGGGTCCAGTGAAGGGAGACACCCACCCCTCTGCTCCAGGTGTCTGAAAGAACACAGCCAAGGGCCCACTGTTTATCAGGGGACAAGGGGCTGGGAGGCCAGCAGAGTGACCTGGGTGTCAGGGAGACAGATCTGGGTTTGGATCACTACTCACTGGCTGGGTGACCATTGACACTAGGTCACCTGATCTCTCAGCCTCAGTTTCCCTATCTGCAAAGTAGGACTAGCATTGTAGTAAAATGACTGAACCTTAACGGGAGGATTCAGTAAGCCATGCTTGTAGAGTGCTCAGCGTGGGGCCTGACACACAGTACGAGCTTAATCAAGTGGTTATTCAGGTTATCTCCGCCCTTGCTGTCTATAGCAGCGACTCCCAATTCTGGTTCATCAGGAGAACTGAATTCACTGGGCAGCGAACGATTTTTCAAAGGGCCCCATCTAAGCATCCAGCTCTGGGGATAGGCGAGGCAGAAGCTGAGTGTTTTACACTCACCAGGGGGGTGTAAGCAGGCTTGGGGCAAGGAAGGCTGGGTTCCAGCCCCGGTTCTACCACTTCCGTGGGCCTTTGCTCTAGGCCTCTGCCTCCTGCCTGTACGGAGGAATGGGGACAAACCCCAGTGGTCTTTCTAGAACTTCTCTGCTGCCCTCTAGTGGACACGGGATGCCCACACCTTCTTGCGTGTAATTTCTGCTGTGTAGGGAGCTCTTACCTGGTGCCACGCGCTGGGCTAAGTGCCTGTGACGACATCGATACCTCCGGCATGTACACTGGGGAGCACTTTCACAAATGTCCCTCCTCCAGTGCTTACTTCAGCCCTGTCACGTGAGTTATTTTACCTTCATTTGGAGGCCCAGATGAGGAAGATGAGGCCAGGGAGGGATAGGACTGCCCCACAGTCACCCAGCAAGTCACGAGGACCGGAACTCAAGTCTCTGGGTGGCCTGGCTCTTTGGGACCGGGGTGGGGAGTGAGGAACAAAGCCTAGACAGAGCTGGGCAGTGAGAAACACCCCTTCCCCATCACTGTCATGGCGTCCTGGTTGCTACCGCCTCCAGCTTCCCCATGAAGGGATGGGGCTGTGGCTCTGAGTCTGAGGGAACTGGGCAGGGTCAGGCACTGGGGCGAGGCCCGCAGCTGGATGCCTCCTTGTGAGGAGGCGAGGTCTCCCTGCCACCCTCTTCCACCATGAGCAGAGGAAGGCCCCAACCTTGACCACGTCCACCCATGTCTTTGATGTCCCTGCTTGTCCAGTTACTGGGTCCCAGTGTCGCGGCCCCTTCCTTCTTCCTGGCGAGTCTCTGGAGAGTTGCTTTCCTGGGCCTCCCACTTGCACAGCTTCCTCTCTCACCTCAGCCGATTTTAAAATCTGAAAGCACTTCTGTTTTTTTTTTTTTGCGGTACGTGGGCCTCTCACTGTTGTGGCCTCTCCCGTTGCGGAGCACAGGCTCTGGACGCACAGGCTCAGCGGCCATGGCTTATGGACCCAGCTGCTCCGTGGCATGTGGGATCTTCCTGGACTGGGGCACGAACCCGTGTCCCCTGCATCAGCAGGCGGACTCTCAACCACTGTGCCACCAGGGAAGCCCTGAAAGCACTTCTGAAAACTCTCTAGGGCTCCCCACATACTCCAGATAACAAGCAAGCCCCTTGACCTGGCGTCAGAGTCCTCCCTGCTGGACCTCAGCCACCTCCCCGGCCTGGCTCTCCCCACGTGCCTCTGTCTCCCAAGCTGCAGACCTATGGTTTTGCTTGTTCGCTTGTTTTTGCATTCCAAATACACTTCTCTCTGCATCTTCCTCCACTAAGCCTTCGCAGCTGCTGTTCCCTCTGTCTGGAATACCCTCTCCTCCTCCAACCCCACCCTCGCTCCAAGCATGCGCTTTTGTCTGGCTAATTTCTACTACTCAGGTCAAAGTCTCTCCCCTGGCCTCTGCTGCTTCCCCCATCACTGCAGGGACCATCCTGTCTTATTACCTTCTTCTCACTCCCCTGCCCCCCATCCTGGCAGGGAGAACTGGGGAGCCTGTCATGCTTTCCGTCCTACCCTCAGCACCGAGCATGGAGTGCATGTTTGGTGAATGAATGAGTGGATGAATAAATGATGCGGGAAAGCCTGGGCACTGCAGTCAGGCCTATTTGGCCCCCAACTCGGCCCCAAGCTGGGTGACCTTGAACAAGTCCCATTCCTTCTCTGAGCCCCAGAGTGTTCACCTGAAACAGGCCTCTATTCCTTCCTGCACACTGGGCACCTCTGAGGCTCAGCGGCCTCTTGCACAGGCAGGACCTCGCCCTCCCCTTGAAATGGTTCTGGGACCTGGCCAATTCCAGTGGACACTTGGACCCCTGGGTCCCCTAGGAGGACAGGGGCCCCAGAGCCCCGATCCTTCCACCCCGATGGCCAGAAGGGGAAGAGGGGTCAGTACCCCGGATCACTGCCGGCCTTCCATCCTTGGGCCCAGGGTTAATTTTTAAAAAGCAGCTCAAAGTCCAGGTGGGCTTTGGCAGAGTTTGCTCTCTCTGTTTGCTCTGGTTAATAATCTGAGGAGAGCAAACATCGCTGGAGGCGGGAGAAGAGATCAACATCCTGGGCCCATCCTCTGGGCCTCTTCCCCCCCCCCCCCCCCCCCCCCCCAACTGCATCCCCCCACCCTCAGGAGAGGCTGTGTGGCTGGATGAGCAATCCTATCCAAAGGAGGCCGGGATTCTTCCACACCCCCGTGGACCTCAGGCTTCCCCTGGGGCCAATGGGATTGACAACCCTAATAACGTAGACCCTCTATGAAGATCGGTCGAGCCATCACGGTACACTGTAGGCAACCTTAGTAGGGTGGCACTGCTCCTATTCATGATTCATTGTTATTTTTTCATTCTTATATCAGGTCTGGTCTCTCCAAAGACAGACCTCCTGAGACCATCACGCAGGTGAGGCAGTGGACTGTTTACAGAGCACTTTCACACACATCGCTCACTTGACCTCTTGGCAGACGCGTCAGGGATTGTTTTCTTCCATTTACAGGTGAGGAAAGTGGGCTTCAGAGAGCGAAGGCCATACCCAAAGTCATGCAGAGCGAGTCAAGCCTTCTGGCTGCCAGTTGTCTGCACCCCTCTTAATTCAGACTCTGCCTTCTTACTACCACCACGAACCAAAGCATAAAAGCCTGTGAAACTTGGTGAACAAGAGGGAAGATAAGTGTTTCAGAAATCTAAGCCAAGATACTTGCTATGATTAAATTTGTCATATGGCTTTGAGCTTCCTGGCAGCCAAAGTGAAAAGGGAATGTCATCACTAGCCAAGCTGCCAGTGACAGAGCAGAGGAAACACATTCACTTATTATGACTAGAGACACACTTGTTCCTGATACTGGAAAGATGAATGTATTGATGACTCTTACAGAGGGACATGACTCACCAGTTGTTGGGGCAACTCTGTGGGGGAACTGCCGGATCCTCACATGAGCAGGGGTCTTTCTTGTGGACCTGCCTGTCTGAAAGGGTCATTCCCAGCTGTAGCAAGGAGGCTACTGTGTGTGTGGAATGTTCTGTGCCAAGGGCAGGGAGGAAATGAAGACAGAAGTTCTGACCACTGGAGAAGGGCTCTTCCTAGAGAGGGCCTGCAGTATCACTGGCAAGAGTTTGATCTATGGAGACAAACAGACCTGGATTTTTAAAAAATTCCCATTTAAATATTTTAATGCAATGGATACTGTCTAGTTTCCTAAGGCTGCCATTAATAAACACCACAAACTGGGTGGTATAAAACAACAGAAATGTATTTTCCTCACAGTTCTGGAGGTTACAAGTCCAATACCAAGTTGTCAGGAGGGCCGCATTCTTCCAGGAGGTTCCAGGGGAAAATCCTTCCTAGCTTCTGCCAGCAGCCCTTGGCTTACTGCTGCCTCATTCCAAGCTCTGCCTTGGTCTTCGCGTGGCCGTCTTCCTTGTGTGTCTGTGTGTCTCTGTATCAAAATCTCACCGCCCCCCCCCCACTTTCTCTTCTGAAGACATCAGTCCTTGGGTTTAGGTCCACCCTCCTCCAGTATGACCTCACCTGAACGAATTATGCAAATAAGGCCACGGTCTGAGGTCCCGGGTGCACATGAATTTGGGGGAGACACTATCCAACCTGTTACATACACATTCCGCTCTTACCATTGCCGGCTACTGTCCTAGTGCTTTACAAGCGTAACTCCATCAATCCTCGTGACAATGTTCTGAACCAGGAACTATTATCCCCATTTGCAGATGAGGGCACGGAGGCACTGAGAGGGAAATTCACTCACCCAAGGCCACACAGCCAGTGAGTGGCACAGAAAGCAGTCTGGCTCCCGAGTCCACGCTCTCAGCCACCACCAGATGCTGCCTCTCCCAGCAATGCTGCTTCCCAGCTGGGAGACCCTAGGCAAGTCACTTTACCTCTTGGAGACTCAAACGCCCTACCTATAAAGGGGGATAATAGCACCTACTTGATGAGGTTGTTGTGGGGATGATCAATTCCGTGGCCGGTGGAAAGTGCTGGTAGACAGCTGGCACACAGCAGGTGCTCACGGAATGGAAGCTGTGAACACCATCATCATCACTTCTACTATTATTTGCTAGGGCTGTGGGAAGCCACGGCTCAGAGAAGGAACTCTGGGGACAGGACACCCGAGCTCTCGTCTTGGCTCTGCCACAGACCTCCCTATTGTCTCTGCTAAGTCACTTCCTCTCCCCGGGCCCCAGTTTTCTCATCTGAGAAATGGGCCAGTCAGGCTTGTCCTCCTGGCTCACAGGTGGAACGACCCAGCGGGAAGGGCCAGGGGCTGCCCGTCTCTTCGCCCCACCTGGGACAGGTGAGGAGTTTCGGGGGACGCCTTCATGGGGCCTGAACCTAGCGCCCGGCTGCACCAGGACCGTGTTGCATTTGGCCGGCAGCTCCTCTGAAGCAGCCACCCTGGCCCCTCGGGGCCCTGACCCCGGCCTGGGCACTACAAGGGATCGATTGGCCCTGGCCTTGGGGCCCTGATTGGTCCCGGCTGAACAGAGCAAACAGCAAGGTCATCTACAGCCACAGGCCCGTTCCCCAGCCCCAGTCCATAGCTGCCTCGTGCAGGCAGGTGGTGGCTCTTCTGTCCCCAGACGGAGCCCGTGAGTGACACCCCAGGCGGAGGAGCCCGGAGCCATGCAGAGTCTTGGAACCCTGCTCTTGCAGCTGACCGCCTGCCTGGCGGTGAGTGCCAGCCCTGTGACGACGTTGCCCGACGACATCCAAGTGCAGGAGAACTTCGACCTGTCTAGGGTAAGGCTGGCCTCTCTGGCAGCGATGGCAGGGTGTCCGAGTGGCTGGGCCTTGCTGCGGGGGAGGGGCAAGTCCTAGGCCCCGGGCTCTCAGTCTCGCATCTGGAACTCCACGCGTGGGTCCCTCAAGGCCCTCGCTGCTGCCCAGACTCTCAGGGATCTGCTGAAGCTACAATTCTGCATGCACCGTTTTGTGGGCCTCCAGGCTGACATTCTGAGTCAAAGGTCCTCACGTCTGAACCTGCCCTCTCGGGTTCCCAGGGGAACCCATGCTCTGATTAGAACCCACCCAGAAAAGGCTCGGTGCCCACTGCTGCCCTGCAGCCCCCAGCAGCACCGAGGTTTTTGTGACCCTCCACCCCGCAGCCCTTCAACCTTCAAGTCCTCACCTCCCTCATAGCATCTCTGTTAGCCCGTCCTGGGTCCTCCGCCCTACGTGTGGGATTATGGGGAGATGAGAAGCACGACAGAGGTCAGGCTGGTGGGATTAAGAGGCCCAGGCAGGGCGCTGTGTGTGGGGAGTCTGCCCTCCGGCCCCAGCTCTGCCCGAAGCGCTGGGTGACCTTGAACGGGGCCTGCCCCTCTACCACCATCCTGGGTTCCGTCTGACCCTTGTAGCCGTGCTGGCCTGAGGACTTTGCTTATGTTCAGGGATGGGGAAGGTTGTGGAGGAGAGGCGTGAGGAGAGGGCCTCTGGTGGTCAGGGATGGCGAAAGGTCTGCGGGGACCTGAGGGTCCTTTCAGGAGAAAGAGGCGGCAGGCTTGCCCTGGGTCAGACGCAGCTTAGGGAAAGGAGATACTTTCTGACATGGAGGTATGGGCTGTGTGCAAGGTGGTGAGCAACCTGTCCCCAGAGGAGTAGAAGACAGGACTCCTGCTTTTGGGGAGCCTTGGAGATTTGGACCCCGTCCAGGTGAGCCACCCAGATCCCACATCTCAGCAGAGTCAGGCCCTCTGCCAGCGAGGTGGGGCCCACCTGCACATCTCCGTCCTAAGCTGGCCGCGATGCCTGGAGTTCCTCCATCAGGGCTCCACCCTCCCTGGAAGCCCTGTAGCCTCCAATTACCTGTAAGACAAGGATGATCACTTAGGAGAAGTCACTGAGAGGAGGGAGGGGGACAGATATCCTCCAAATCTTCCTCGAGGTCCAGATCCTCAGAGCTTGTGGCTGCCTCCTAGATCTACGGGAAATGGTTCCACGTGGCCGTGGGTTCCACCTGCCCGTGGCTGAAGAGGTTCAAGGACAAGATGACCATGAGCTCGCTGGTGCTGGGAGAGGGAGCAACGGACAGGGAGCTCAGCGTGACTAATACTCACTGGCGGTGAGTGGGGACCCACCTCCACCCCACCCCCTGCCCTGGCTTCAGTCACCACCCCATCCTAGAAAGTGACAGGTCTCCACTTCCAGCCAGGACTCGGCCCTGAGCTCCAGACCTCTCTGCTGCCCTCCACCAGGGCAGCCCTTTCTAGTTGTCCCACCTCCACCTCAAGGGCAACGCCCCCAACACTGTGCCTTCTTTCCAACCTGCTCTTTCTCCTTGGGTGCCCTTAGTTCAGTAAGGGCACTTCTCCCCCGCCCCCATCTTGGAAAGCTGGGTGGGAGGCGGCTGTCCTAGACTCCTCTTTCCACTGCCACGGCCATTCGATCCATCATCAAGCCCTGTCCCTGCCCTTCCTAAATCCCTCCAGTCTGTTCACTTGTCTCCTCTTCACTGCCACCACCCTGGACCAAGCCACCACCCTTTCTTTCCTGGTTGTCTACAGTAGCCTCTCTACACTTCTCCCCACCTCTAATCGCCAACTTTCCATCCAATCCTTTCGTCACCCAGCAACCAGAAAGACCTTTCAAAAACTCAAATCTGCTTAAACCTTTCCAGAGCTCCCTATTGCCCTTGGGAATAAAATTCAACTCTTCAATGTGGCCTTTCAGCACCCCCTGCCCCCGACCCCCAAGCACTCACTGTTCCCTGCCCCACTGTCTGCCATGTACTCTGTGACCCACCCAAGTGGACCTTCTTTCAGTCCCTGGAACCCTCCATCCTCTGGACCTTTGCATTGGATGTTTCTTCTATCCGAAAACCTCTCCCCACCTCCCTGCGCTAATTCCTATGGATCCTTCAGGACTCAGGTTCTTTGTCACTTCCTCCAGGAAGTCCTCCCTGACTCCCCCCAACCCAGGTTGAGGTTACATGCCTTCTTCTGTGTTCTCGGAGCACCTCGGGCTCCACCCCGCCCCTTGTGGCAATTCTCACACTGACTGTATCTGCCCCTGGCCTGCCCACCCACCTCACTCAATTATAGGCTCCATGAGGGGACAGGGTCTGTCCTGCCCTCCTCTGTATCCCCAGCATGTAGCACAGTGCCTGGCACATAGATGCTGCTCATTAAATATTAACAAGATAAATAATAATCATAGTAACAATAATACCTAATAAGTGCATAGTGTTTACTCTAAGCTTTTTGCATATAATATCTCAGTTGATCCTCACAACCACCATGTGAGGTAGAAGCTATCATTATCCCCATTTCTCAGATGAGGAAAATGAGAGAGACAAAAAGTAATACATGAATTAATGTGTTAATTCATCATTCTGACTTCATGGTGCCTAAGTCTGATGTGCAGATTTGCTTAAGGAAGTTGATTTTTAGTGCTGGGTTTACCAAGAGGTTAGCATGGATTAGTTCCTTTTTATCTCTGTCCCTCTGTTCCCTCATGTGAAATTTGTGTCTCCCAGGGCTGGTGTGAGAATTAAACCAGATATTTGGAAATGTTACTTTCCAAATTAAATTTTAAAAAAGGCATTTAGAAGGACCCTGCAGGAGAGTGGGGTGTCAGGACCATGGTCTCTGCCGGAAGTTACCTTCCTTTTGGTTTGTTCATTTCCAGGAAAGGTGTCTGTGAGGCGATCTCTGGGGCTTATGAGAAAACAGGCACTGATGGAAAGTTCTTCTATCACAAACCCAGTAAGTTGAGTCAAAGGAGACATCTACAGTTCCCTCCTTTGCTAAAAGATACCTGCTGTCTTAAGCTCTCTTTCCTTCTGCCTCAGCCCTCTCTGCCCCTACAACTTTTCCTCCCACTTTTCTGCAGTCATCTAGCCTCCCTCCAAATTTCCCCCTCCTTCTCCTTCTCTCTCTCCTTCTTTCTTTTTCTCTCTCTATCCCTCCCCCCGCCCCTGCCCTGCCATGCACGTGCTCATCCAGAATTTGAGTGATGGTGCTGAATGCTAAGGATAACATCAAGATTTCATCAGTCCTCGTGTTAGGCATCTGCAGTCAGCTGATAAAAATTTGCTAGGCATCTACCATATACAGTGCGTGTGGTGCCAAGTGATAGAGGGACTTGGACATGAATTTAATCATTAATCCAGCAGATGTATACTGAATTTGCTCTATGCATCAAATAATCATGTCAGGGGTTGAATGTTTGGGGTTGGATAAATAAATGAGTGAGAGAATTAAAAAATGGTAAGTGAATATAAGTATGATGGTAGATTAGTGGGGTAGTCAATCAATCATTTAATAGATAAATTGATGGATTAATGGATGGAGGAAAGAAGGAAGGAAAGAGGGAGGGAAGGGAGGAAGGAAAGAAGGAAAGAAGGAAAGAAAGAAAGAAAGAGAATGAAAGAAAGAAAGAAAAAGAAAGAAAGAAAAAGAAAGAAAGAAAGAAAAAGAAGGAAAAAGAAAATGGATGAATTTATGGATTGATATATGATGAGGATGGATGGATGGAATGATGGTGGTTGAATTAATGATGAATATATGGAGGAGATGGATGGATGGAGAGGGAGAGAGTGAAGACGGATAATAAATATATGGAAGGGATGGGTGAACAGAAGGATGGATGAATAGATGATGTGTGGGTGAATAGGTGAAGGATCTCAGGCTAGAAACCTTCTGACCACTGATCTTTTTGTCTTCCTGAATCTTCCATGCAGAATGGAACATCACCATGGAGTCCTATGTGGTCCACACCAACTATGATGAGTATGCCATTTTTCTGACCAAGAAATTCAGCCGCCGCCATGGACCCACCATTACTGCCAAGCTCTATGGTAAAGGCCTGGAATATGATACACTCGTTGGAGCTGGGCGTGGGAGGAGACCCGGGATTTAGGGAAATGGAGTGGGGAAGAGCAGGGAGTTTTGCTTTTTCCTTCTGACAAAACTCCAGTTAAGGGAAAGGTGAAAACATTTACTCTCCCTAGAGGAGGTAGAGCTCCGTCTCCCATTTGAGGTAGAATCCTCTTCTTTTGATCTTGAAAATTCCAGAGAATTCCAGAGCCTTCAGGTTCTTAAAAGAACCAGTGGAAAGAGAGCTGTGTGGGGAGTTGGGAGACCCAGATGGGGAGCCTGGGAGGGACACCTCATCCTCTTCTGGGGCTGAGGTTTCCATAAGGGTATCGAAGAGATGGAATTGGGCCAACAGTTTTCAAACTTCCCCGAAATGAAACTCCCTGGGCAAAATAACCTCAGGCCCTGACGGCCCAGGTACCTGTGGTTCTAGGAGTCTCCCCTGCTTCCTACTTGCAGGACGGGAGCCACAGCTTCGGGAAACCCTGCTGGAGCAGTTCAGGGAAGTTGCCCTGGGTGTGGGCATCCCTGAGGACTCCATCTTCAGGATGCCCGACAGAGGTAAGTGACACCTCCACACCACCTCCCATTTCTGATACCCGTCTTATCCTTCACGACCCCCAGAGCACATCTTCCCAGTCCCTGGGTCTTTCCCATAACCCTCTGAGATAAGCTGAGCTATGATCCCCCTCCCCTCTTTATAGAACAGGCAGCTCAGGCCTCTGGATTTGCTCCAAGTCGCACAGAGCGTACCTGGCGAAGCTGAGAGTAGACCCAATTCAGCGTTCCCTCTGCTGCCACCTGTCTAAGTTTGGTTATAGCCAGAATCCATGGCTACCTCTTGGGAGGCAATAGAGTGTTGGGGTTAGGAGCCTGGGCTCTGGAGTTAGAGCACCAAGGTTCAGATTGAGCTGGGTGGCTTCTGGCTGGTCACCCTTCCAGAGCCTCATTTCCTCATCTGTAAAATGGGGATAATAATGCCTCCTTTAGAAGTTGCTGTGAGGAGTCAATGAAATAAAGCAATTAAATACAATAGCGCCGCACTTGGTGTCTAGCAAGTGCTCAATAGATATCAACCGTGAAATGCTGGTTGTGGGTGGAGACGATGCAGGTTGTGACAGTGGTGCAGCCACCAGTCTATCACTTTTCCAACAAGTGACCTGCAGCAAGCCATGGGGGTGGAGCCGTCCACGAAGTGGGCTAATGCACAAGACAGGTCCCAGCGCACGTCCCGCCTGACACGTAGTCGTTAGCTCTATGGAACAAACAAAGCCTGCCTGGGTCTGGGATGTCTGGGTCTCATTCCCTCTCTCTCCTGTCCTCTGCCCTAGGTGAGTGTGTCCCTGGGGAGCAGGAACCAGCGCCCACTCCACTCTCGGTGAGTACCTCTGCCGCCCACCCCATCCCCACCCTGCCCACTTAGGCCCTGCTGAGCTGGTAGGTGGGGTCGTTGAGAGAAGGCAGTGATGGGCATGTTCTGCCATTGGGCTAACTGCTGCCCCATCTGGATGTCACTTTCCTCATCTGTGAAACGGGGTAATTACCTTTACCTTCCAGGTGTTAGAATCCAGTGACATGTTAGAAAAGGTCTTAGCATAATGCCTAAAAGCAGTGACATACTCAATAATGAGATAATGATACTCGATATGCAATAAATGAAAATAAAGTCAATTGATCCCCCCAAAATGCAAATCCGAGAGCAAAGCAGCTTCTCAAACCAGTGACTCTCCTGTGCTGACTTTTGATTTGCAGGGCTTCCTTCTTCTGTTTTATTTTCCTGCCTTTTGCCATATTAAGTCTTCATTCTTTCTTTCTCTGATTATTTGGAAATTATATATCCTAATTTAGTCTACTGCTGTGTGTGTATATATCTATATATGTGTATGTGTATATAAGTACATATATACACGTAATATTTATTTTAGAAACATATTCTTGAAAATTTGAAAAAATACAAGAAAGCAAAAAAAAAAAAAGACAATAATGTCCTTATTCCTACATAGAATTAACACTGCTAACATATTATTTGTTTGCTTACATATTTTTTAGAAAAAAATTACCATTGTTATTATAAAACTAACATACGATCAATATAAAGAATCAAAACAGTGCAGTATAAAGGTATAAAAAATAAGTTTTAAAAAATTCCACCACCCAACACCTACCAGCAGTCACATTACTCCGGTAATTTGACCTGCATACACCTGGAGAGGGGCAGATAGAAGGAAGGTTGGATAGATAGAGGAACAGATTTAAATATGCTATTATTAAATGGAATTACATTACAGATGCTATTTCTAAATTTTAAAAGGCATTCCTTGTAGTTTTACTCGAATTTAAAAGGGCCCTGGGGAATTCCCTGGTGGTCTAGCGGTTAGGACTCCACACTTCCACTGCAGGGGACCCGGGTTCGATCCCTGGTCAGGGAACTAAGATCCCGCAAGCCGTGCGGAATGACAGGGGGAAAAAAAGCCCTGAAGTTTGAAGGTTTTAAAAAAAACTTCAAATAAATATTTATTATCCACAAGAGATTTACTCCTTAAAGAATGCTCTAGATAAAGTCAAGGTTATGAACTAATATTTAAGAGGCTGGCATCGCTATGGATACTTTTAGAGAATATCTGCTGTTTGCAAGATTTGGAAGACAGACATCTTCACTCACAAACTTGGTTCCATCTTCTCTTCCCTTTTGCGTTTACGTTGTCCAGACTGATACCATCCCCATTCTGCTCTGTCACTACGATTCCCAGACATCTAGTAATAGTTCTATATTTTAATGGAGTCTACATTCACCCTTAGTGAATATAACACAGCTTCTCCATTCCTGAGTTATTCTTTCTATTAATCTCTTAGTGCCATTTTTTTTTTACCAAGTGCTGTTTTCAAGGAAGGTTCATGGGTGTTTTAATCCCAGAATTCTTCCCTGTTTGAGAATGTCTGCCCATTTCCTTCCTCCTTGAAGGGTATTTCGCTTGAGTGTCAAATTCTAAGGTCATGTTTTCTCTCCCTCAGAAGAAGCTTTGTGTGCACTGCTCCATTGTTCTTCCACACTGATGACCACGGCAGGGAAGCCCAAGGCCAGCCTGATATTTCTTCTCCTTGGAAGCAATTTGTTTCTTCTGCTCAGATGCCTGGACAGACTTTCTCCTTGATAAGAAGTCAGCATCTTAACAAGGACATGTCTTGGGGTTGAGAGTCTATATCAAAACTTCCTGGAATACACCGTGCTCTTTCCATCCACAGATGACATTTCTACTGTATTTCAGGAAACTCTCTCTCATGATATGGAATTCATATTCTATTAGCTTTGTTGAGTTTTGCCATCTGGCGAACACTTGTTCTCTCATCCTGGAGCATCTTTATCCTCCATCATGCACTAGCTTTTCTCAAATTGCTTTTATTTGCATCCACTGGGACTGTCTCGTCTATGACAATCTTCTATTTAGCAGCATCTATTCTTTCTGCTCCTCACTATTCCTAATTTATTCACGAGCCCTGAACCGATGTTGTTTTGCTTCTCAATTTGTTTATTTAGGCCTGGGTTCTCTCTTCGTCTCATTCTGTCAGCGTTTACCATTTCATCTTTGAATCTTGTCTTAATACGTGCATGTTCTTATTATGTAATTCCATAACTTGAGGCCAAAGAGGGATTTCCTTCTGCTTCTTGAGTTATGTTTTCTTCTAGGTTGGGTTCCCTACATCAACAATTGGGCAGAGGCAGAAGGAGAGCTGCAGGGCGGTCACAACAATGGCTCAACCAACCCTATAGGGAGCTCTGGAACCAGGACCACCCTTGGGAGTTGTCCCATGATGGGGCCAAGGGACGGAGCCTTAATACCCTATGTTGATCAGTCTGGGAAGGGAGCATGACCTTGAATGAGAGGGCTCCCTTAGCTGAGGTGGTCTCCAACAGGGTCTGACAGTGGGTAGCTGGGAATATAAATCCATTGCTGATGGGAGGACTTGGCAGTTCATGGCCATGTCCACCACTGGACTCTTGGGCTCTTTCTCTAGTTCAGGCTACTTCTTCATTCATTTCTGAAGTGGGTCTGCATAGTTTCTGTATCACTTCTTTTTCTCTGACTCCTGCTTAGTCCGTTTTAGATAGACTTTCTGTTTATTCTGATATGGTGGCGTGGAGGTTTCCTTATTCCTTGGCTCTCTTCCTGCAAATATAAGCTTAGTCCCCTCCCACCCAAACTTAGAGTAAGGGCTGGGTTTTTTGTGTTCCATCCACTTTTCTGAAGTCCAGAGCTGGTTGGAATACACTTGCTTTGCATTCTCTTTGGAAGGACTGATAAATACCCTATGAGGATTCATTCCACCTAGTCGGGGCTGGCAGCAAGGTACATCTGCCCCCAGTGACACCCCCTGGAGCATTGACTGTGTAGCCCCAGAACCTTCCCTTACAAAGAGTCAGGCTCTAGTCTATTTTCCTCTTTTTTTCCCCAGAAGTCATTTTCACTACTCCTCTATCAGAAGAGGAAGAAGATAGGGTTCCCCACAGTTTTCTTCTCTCAGGACTTGGGAGTATTAGGGAGAGCTATCAGAAATTTGATGACTTGCCAGGACTGGGAGTTGGAGGGCAGGTCAGGAGCTGAACCTTGCTGACCTTCCTGTTCAGCTCCAGATTAGTGGATCGAGAGCTTTAGTTTTTCCTTTAAATTGTGCCCCTTTCCTCATTTCAGTGGTGTTGAGCAATACTTGGGGGCTGGGATTTCTGAATTCATTCTTTGCTGATGGCTCGGTATTGGAGAGGGTTGAGGGAAATTTCTATCTGCCATCTTAATCCAGATCTCAGCTGAATCTGTGCTTCTTCATCCATGTCAAGAATGAAACAATAGGGCTTCCCTGGTGGCGCAGTGGTTGAGAGTCCACCTGCCGATGCAGGGGACACGGGTTCGTGCCATGGTCCGGGAAGATCCCCCGTGCCGCGGAGTGGCTGGGCCCGTGAGCCACGGCCGCTGAGCCTGCGCGTCCGGAGCCTGTGCTCTGCAACGGGAGAGGCCACAGCAGTGAGAGGCCCGCGTACCGCAAAAAAAAAAAAAAAAAAAAAAAAAAAAGAATGAAACAATAACTGATGACTTCCCTTGCAAAAGAGAGAAAGGCGGCTTACTTTTTATTTCTTCCTTCCAGGCTTCCCACATCCTCATTTTTGTGGATATAATCTGAGATTGATGTTTATATTTTCCACCTTTTGTTTGGAGAATTACTTTTAACATTTACATTAAGTTGAATGACGATTTTAACAACAATTTAACCTCAACTCTCTATTTTACTGGCTTTCTAGTTTACCATCATTTCTTTTCTACCACATCATGCATCTTCTTGTATTTAGGTTCCCTTCTCAAGTGTTGGGAATATTTCTGTAAGTAATTTTTTTCTGGAAAGGTACATGGTGGAGAACTACAGGATCTTTGCATGTCTGAGAATATCTTTCTGTGTTTATATCACATGATCAACAGCCTGGTTGAGTGGAGAATCCCTGGGTTACAACCTTTACCCTCTTACAACCTTTAGATATTGCTCTGCCGCTTCTGTTATTAAATGCTCTCGTTTACTCTGAGGGCCACTGCTAGGCTCTTTATCCTTTGTCTCTAGGAAATGTCGAGATAGGACTCTTCATTAATTTTCTCTTTCCCTTTGAGCCCTTATAATTGAACAACTCAAGTCTCTCTTCAACTTGGAAAACTTTTCTTCTATTATTTCTATATTGTTTGCCTCTCCTTCTAGAATTCCTATTCTGTGAGTTTATTTCTCATAATCTTTAAACTGCAGTTTATTATCCCTACTGTGTGGTTAAATTTAACAAAATCCTTTTCACCTCCAGTAACTTTCTACTTCTCCCATATTATTCATCTGCGTAACTGTGGGCTCCTGTTAACGTTGATGCGATGCCATCTCGAATTTCATTGATGGTTTTAGTTTTCTTCTGTTTCTTACCTACGCCCTGTGTTTAGTGGAGATATTTCTCCAGCTCAGTGTGATTCTTCTGAGCAGTTGCATTATTTAATTCGTTCCATGATTTTTCTCTTTTCCTTCATCCTCACCAAGCAAGACCTATGTGCAACCGGCTTGAGATGGGTTCTGGTAGACAGTGGGAGTCCCTGATCACAGCTTCAGTTGCACCTTGAAAGGAGAAGGGAAAAGTTGAAGGTTACTACAGTTTTACCTTTTCAGATTCCAGGTCTCACCTGTGGGCAGGAAGACTGCCTGATGGCCGGCAGTGTCCCTGCTCATCCTTCTGTAATTGTCCCGGGACTGTGCCTCAGTGGACTCTACTCCCAGAGATCCTTTTGACAGCTTTGGCAGCCTGCCCTGCTCTGCAGTCCCCACCCCCACCCCCATATCTAGGAGTATTAGGATCAATCTTGGGGTCCCTTCTTACTCTCCACATGACTTTTCCGCTGTAAGCAGTTAACGATGGTCTGGTCAGCCCTTCCTGCAAGTCACTCCCACTCCCACTCCCTTGTGTAGAAATGCCTTTTAGTTTCTAGTATGGGAATGCTGCTCTTCCCTGGTTCCCAACTGTGGATTAGGTTTCTTTTCCATTATTATATTCCTCTGGGCATTTCAGCTGGAAGCTGGATATGTAGGTATTGTTCTGATTTGTCATTTCAGACCAGAAATCTATCTTGTGATGCCTATTCTGGAATTCAGGTTGAAGCTTTTGGGAAAACAGGCCGTTAACCAATCTAGTAGTGTTTCTGTCTACACCCTGATCCCCAAAGCAAGTGGTTTGTTTATATATTCCAGGGGTATATAGGGGAGCAGCAGTGGCTAGATCCCTGCAACAGCTTCTTCTCTTTCTTCCCCCAGAGAGCCCGGCGGGCTGTTCTGCCCCAGGAAGAGGAAGGATCAGGGGCTGGACAACTAGTAACTGATTTCGGCAAGAAAGAAGGTGATGATCACCCCCCTTTTTTTAATCCCCTTCTGCCACACTCCAGAGAGGAAGGGTCCACAGTTGGCTCACCCCAGCTGCCCTCATCACCGTGAAGTCTTTCTTATTTTTCTGCTAGAATCAAGGACTGAGCCTAGAAAGGGCTGGGCCAGCGGTTATGGGGGAAGAGAGAGGAGTGTAAGGCATGGTCCCTGAGCTTAGCAAGTCTCAGCTCCACGATGAGAAGCGAGTTCTTGGCTTGTCTGTACCACTAGGTGGCCTCCTAGACGTGGCTTTCTCATCTGTACAATGGGATAACAGCCTGCTGAGCTGACCTTCAGGGCTCCTGTGGGAGCTCATGGGCAAGAACGTGAGAATGCTTTTTGTGATTGATAAAATGATCACTCTCCAAATCTCTCAGCAAACACTGAACCCCGACCCTGCTCCACCGCAGACTCTGCGCTGGGCATTGGGGTCACGGGGATGAACCACCATCTTTTTGGACCTTCTGGTCTAGTAGGGGAGGCAGTCAAGGAAGAAAGTGAGGGACCCAAAAGGGAGGGTCAGCTAAAAGGCTGGGGGAGTTCAGAAAATGGAGGACGAGGTGATCAAGGAGGACTTCCTGGATGAAGGGGAATTCATGCTGTGTCCAGGTATGGTTTTAGGAAGGAAGGCATTCTGGCATTCTAGGGGCAGGAATGATGAGAGCAAAGGCACGGGGGTGGGACATAAGGCAGAGGTCAGGCTGGCTGGCATGGGTGCTGGTGAATGTACCATCAACTACTATCCTTACCGAGTCTTTGGGCAGACAAGACCAACACAGGGGATGTTGGGTCTCTGGGTCGTTGGTAACTCCCCATGTTATGGAATGGAATGAGCATGGGTTTTTGGAATCCAGCAAATATGGCTTTGAATTTCAGCTCTATGTAACTCTGGGCAAGTCACTTTACCTCTCAGGGAGTCAATTTCCTTACCTTTAAAATGAATTGAGAATTGTTCCTCTTAATGCAGAGATGAAAACTAAGTGAGATGATACCTGTTAAAGTATCCAGCCCGGCGACAGGTACACAGTCAGCATTCAGTGAGCACTGCTGTTCTGCCCCTCCCCAGATTCCTGCCAGCTGGGCTACTCACAAGGTCCTTGCCTGGGGATGATTCAGAGGTATTTCTATAATGGCTCATCCATGGCCTGCGAGACCTTCCACTACGGTGGCTGCATGGGGAACGGCAACAACTTTGTCTCAGAGAAGGAGTGTCTGCAGACCTGCCGGACCGTGGGTGAGTGTGGCCCCACCTCTCCACCTCCCCCTGCGCCCCCCAACCCTGTCCTTCAGACAGACCACCTGCCCATTGAACAGGTAGCTAAGAGAGGATGCGCCAGTGGTGGAATTCCAGGGCAAGTTTCCTGAAGTCATAGGAATCGCACACTTGGGTATGGGTGACCCTCGGCATGTATGTCTTCTTGCGGTCCCATTTCTCAATCTATAAAAAGGGGTCCAGGTGTTGTGGATGAGCAGGGTCCCTGGCTCAGGCCCTTTGATGGGGGTCTTAGGTCAGCGATCCTAAGGACTTCCAATGCTCTGCACCTCCCTCCCCCTCCACAGAGGCCTGCAATCTCCCCATAGTCCCTGGCCCCTGCCGAGGCTCCACCCAGCTCTGGGCATTTGATGCTGTCAAGGGGAAGTGCGTCCTCTTCATCTACGGGGGCTGCAAGGGCAACAGCAACCAGTTCTACTCAGAGAAGGAGTGCAAGGAGTACTGTGGCATCCCTGGTGAAGGTAGGAGGCCCCGACAATGCCAGGCTGGGCCTGGGGGATATCGGGGTCCAGGTGGGGTAGCCCTGGTAGGAGGTGAGGGTCTGGAAAGCTGAGTTCTGTACTCTGTACCAGGTGACCAGCCCATCCACTCTCTGGGCCTCAGTTTCCCACCTCTAAAATGGGGCCAAGCCTGAGGCCTTGCCCCAGCTAGGATGGGGCATCTGGGCCCAGGCAGAGGGAAGGCAGGACAGGCTGAGTGGGGCAGAACTGGGCTCCAATCCCGGCATTGCCACATTTGGGCTGGCCACACTGAGTGTCAGTTTGAGCCTCAGTTTCCTCTTTTGTAAAATGGGACAAAGTACCTACTTCACAGAGCCTCGCACGGTCCATATCCACCTAGCGGCAGCCGTTACTAATAATGGTGGTGATGCTATAATGATAACAGGGATAGCATTCCAGGGAACAGCAGCCGTTAAAGATTTCTGTGCCTTATCTCCCCACTGGGAAAATGGTACCTAAGGTAAAGCAGGAGGCAAAAAACCAGATCATTCCGTGGAACGCACTCTGGAGATAATCAAGTCACTCCGCAAGCAGAAGTTTCTGGCCTCAGGCCCCGGCTTAAGCTCAGCCCAAGCTGCCGTCCCTCCTCTATGAGGCATCCCCATCCCCTGACCGTCCCCACCCACAGACCCCTGGACGACCCCACACCTACTCCCCGAGCCTCTCTGTGTCCACAGGGGAGGAGGAGTTGCTGCGCTTCTCCAGCTGAGCGGCCCACAGGCCAGAGGTCCACAGGCCACAGGGAGCGCGAGGGCCAGTGTCTGCCCCAGGGTCCCGCGGCAGGTTCCAATAAAAAGCAAATTGTAGACTCCTGAAATCCCATGTCCTGACGATTCATCACGAAGTATAATGAGATGGGGGAGGGGAGGGGGAGACAAGCTGGGGAGCGGGCATGAGTAACCCAGCTTTCCCCACATGTGAAAAATGTATGTGTCGGCAATGTATAGAGCCATCTTCAGGACATGAAATTGGCTATGCAAATTACGAAACATAAATCACAGTTCTGTATAAAACGGGATTGTTTTGTCTTAATAAAGCTAGAAGAGAAAAGAGGGGAAAACTCTGGGTACTTTTTTCTGGGAGGGGTTTGACAGAGCTCATCAGAGACCCAGGGTCAGAAGAAATCACGTGCCCTAGTGTGTGCCCAACTGGGTCTGGGCAAATGCCCCACGAGCGCCTGAAAGGATTCCCCTGTCCTTGGCCGCACAGAACCCCACGCCAGCGTTTACTTTGCTCACAGCTGCATCCCCAGCAGTAGCTGCCAGGGGCTGGAAGGCCTCGGGCTGTTTCTCCACAAGGGTCCTGGAGATCCCATCTCCTGGGATCCTTGCTCTGGCCCTTTGCCCCGGAAGAATGGTCACCGCCCTTTGCGCTGTGCCCAGAACAGCCAGCTGGCCCTGGACCGGAGCTGAAAGCCCCGGGTCTGGCCTGGCTTCTGCTCCCTGGAGGAGGAGAGCAGGTAGGCTGCCCAGGGTGGCTCAGGCACCAACTTGGCCCAAGCGCACAACTCCGGGAGCCTCCAGCTCACACACGCCGGATTTACAAATATCGGACTTGTAAACACCTCTTTCGGGCCCCATCCACCCAGAGGCCTGACAGCTGCCGCTGCAAGAGTCCAAACCCCAGCCTCCTGGGCTCTGAGGTGGAATGCTGTGTTGAGGGGACGAAACCCAGAGGCAAGGATTCGGGTGGAGAGAGCTTTGCAGCCCCCTTGGTCAGACCACATAGAGATTCCCCGCCTTACGCACCCCGGAAGTCCCAACCTTGGGGCTTCCAGGTTTCAATAGAGAGGACAGTCCTGAGGGACAGCGTTTGTGGGCCTGGCTGGGAGTCACTGGGCAGAAGTGGGTGGGGGCGGGGACACAGGGAGAAGTGACAGGCTCTCCAGCCTGGAACTAACAAATGTCATCACGTCCTGCGTCCATACCTTGCCCCCTCCATGCATGATTCACACAGTGGGGCTGCCACCTATGGCAGTTGGAAGGTGCCATGCTGAAGAAAGAGATTTTGAAGGGACCTGAAGGACAAATACCTAAACCGGACAGTGCCAGCCACAGGTGGGCTGGCCAGCCTCAGCTCAGCTGGTGGATGGGAGTTTGGCTCCTAGAGTATTTTACAGTTCTGAGTTCACCATTAAAAAATGCACCTCCCGGATTTCCCTGGTGGCGCAGTGGTTGAGAATCCGCCTGCCAATGCAGGGGACGCGGGTTCGATCCCTGGTCCAGGAAGATCCCACATGCCGCGGAGCAGCTAAGCCCATGCGCCACAACTACTAAAGCCCGCGTGCCCTAGGGCCCGCGTGCCGCAACTACTGAAGCCCGGGTGCCTACAGCCCGTGCTCTGCAACAAGAGAAGCCACCACAATGAGAAGCCCGCGCACTGCAACAAAGAGTAGCCTCTGCTCGCCGCAACTAGAGAAAGCCCGGGCACAGCAACAAAGACCCAAGGCAGCCAAAAAAAAAAAAATGGACCTCCCATATAAAACTCTAGGTTTCTCAGTTCTCTTGAAAAATAAGTTCTGGCAGCCTTGGGCCTGCATCCTGCACCCGAGACACCCCTCTAGCTGGGGCCTCCCCTGTGGGTCACCAGCCCTGCCTGCCACCCTCCCTGGTCCTGAAGGCTTTTATCTCCGTGACAGTTACTAAAACTTTCCCTACAAAATCCCTTGGATCTTGTCTTACCCCTCGGGGGTGGGATGGGGTTGAAGCACATCTGTGACCTCCAGTCAGGAGTCCACTCATCCCAGAAGGGATCAGAATCCTTCTCAGCGAAGCGGCTACCCTGATGACTCATCTGATTCTTAAACAGTCTCACCTCAAATTCTCTCTTAAAGATACTGGTCATGCTCATCTCTGTCACAAAATACATGTGGCTGCTTAATAAACAAACATGCTTTTTTTTTAAATTTTTATTTTAAAATCCAGAGGCTGGCCCTTCAGTCGTATGGAGGCTCTGGCCACGCCCTGATCTCATTGGATCCCGACGTTCCCAGCTAGCGGGGGAGTCTTCCCGCTCCAGCAGGACTCTAGACTTTTGTTTTAGAGCCAATAGAAACTCCTTGATTAAACTTCAACCGCGGGCTCAGGAATGTCCACACGGTACACTGAACAGCAGGAAACTCCCACTGAAGGGGGGTTCTGAGGGCAGGGCTGATGCCCCCGGGAGGCTGGCCCAGACTCGGCCAATTCGCGCCGTCATCCTTGCGATTGGATGGAATTTGTTCGGCTGATCGAGCAGCACGTCCTCTTTGAGGAGAGCACCCGTTTCTGGTTGAGGACAGGATAAAGCCGGACGTGGTGTTACCTTTGAACGGCTGTTCTGGCAGGAGCAGGCCTGCTTTAGGAGAAGCTGTCACCCTCCCTGCCCACTCTGGCCACAGCTGTCTTCTGTCTTCTCTCCACGACTTGCCTTCAGTTCGACTCTCCAAGCCAAGCGTTGATGTGCGTGTCTGGAGTGTGAGGCTCGGGTCGAGGCCAGCAGAGGGGCAAGTCCACCCGGCTGGGCCCCCGCAGCCCACCGTGGAGGGCACTGGCTAGAGTCACGGACGCCACTGGCAAAGCCACAGACGCTCTCCCCCGGACAGACAATACACACCACTTCAAACTTCACACACATGACCACTGGGCAAGACGAACTTGGACGTGTGCTTTACTTAGGAGACGGGTGTGCTGACTCCAGGCAGGTGGGGCAGGAAGGCCACACCGTCTTGAAGGGAGTGGGAGAGCTGTCTGGGGTGCTGGCTCGGAGGATGGCAGCAGGTCGGTGGCCAGCAAATGGGGAGGAAGCATCAGAGAAGGGGACACTGCGGGAAAGCCACGCAGAGCTTCAGAAGGACAGAGGAAGAAGGGCACCCGAGCTACCTGGTCTGGCTGCCCGGCGGGCCCACCAGTCGCTTGGTTCACACCCACTGCGGGCATCTGAGCTTTGCCTGAACCTCTCCTGGGATGGAGAGAGCCTTTCCTCCCAAGGCAGGCTTTCCACTCTGACCTGTGTTGGGGACAGTGTGTCCAGACACTGGGCTGAAATGTGTCTCCACAGCTCCCACTAATTCTTAACTTTCTGAGTCACAGATGCCATCAGGAATTTGGCACAATCTACGGGCACTCTTCCCCAGAAAACGGACGGTTTACACAACACACATCACATAAATGATGGTGGCCAAGGCGAACTTGGATGTGTCCCTTGGGCACTGGGCCTGTAGGACTCGGACCAAATCCATCCTTCCTCCGCTGGGACAGTGTTTCACAACAAGGCCCACGGAGACCACGTCTTCTTGTGGCCGTGTCCCTCCCTTATTTATCAGACACCACCAACCTGGGTCTGGTGCCTGAGGTCAGCAGGGAGCTCCGAAGAGCTGACTAACCCCAACCTCACGTAGTATCCCCTCGGGATGGACTCCAGCTCTGTCACCCCCAGGTGACATCTCTGCCTCTGTCCATCTCTACTCCCCAGTGCCCTGCTCCTACCTGGATAACACGGCCCAATGCCAACCCAAGAAATCACACCACGCACTGCCATCTTCCTAAAGGTTGTTTTATTGTAAAACCATAAATACAACACTGACATGAAATCATTTAAGCAACTGATCCTCTCTAACCATTAAAAGGATGTCTTTTTACCTTGGCATCAACCAACCAGGAAATAATGTTGCAAGAATTCGGGGGGTAGGGGGGTGCTGATTTCTGGGTGGGGGCTTTTGGCGATTTAAAGAACCAAGTGGAACCTTCCTCTTCTCCCTGGGAATGTCCCACTTTTGGACAAGAACAGACAGGTAAAAACAGCAACATTTAAACAGCTCAGTTTTAAATTTTATTACTTTGTAAAAATCTTTTTTTTTTTTTTTCCTGTTCCTTTCCTCCATTTGACATCAGTAAAAGTTTTAAACACCAGAAAACTGATTTGGCCGTAAATGGAGAAACGGTACCAAAACGAAATGAAACCAAAAATCCAAAGGACAAACAGAAAAGCCTAAATAAACCCTCAAGTTTGGTCTCGGGGGTTCACATATCACAAGAACTGTCAACTCAACCCCCATGCAATGTGACTCCTTGGAGAACTGTTGGGTCCACACCAACGACACAGGAGACCGCAAACAACGTCTTTTGTTAATTAACACAGCAAGGGTGACACTAGGTAACTTTTTTTTTAAATACAGTACATGGTACACAGGGTCCCAAGATAACCCTGCATAAACCCCTTGTGGAAACTTGAGCCAAAGCACTGGCTGTTTATAAAAATATTGTGTTGCTACAAAAGTATAAATTAATGCTACCGGTATTAAGAAATATTAAACACATAAAACTTATAAGGATTAAGAAAAATATTCATTAATACCTGTAGAAAACTCTGGCCTAAAAAAGATATTTTTTTTGTGTTTGTTTTTTTGTAAATTTTTTTTTTTTGTATTTTTTTAAGATGACTTGAGTTTCTTGCACTCGAAGACAGAGACACAGTCAGCTGTGCCTGTGGTATTGCCTAGAACGTCTTAACTACTGAGAAAGGATGAGGGTGCACACGCATGGGTACCGAGTGGGGCCTGGGAAGGAGGGGCACCAAGGCTTTCTCAAGATTTACCTGATGTGAAAGAATCACCGACGCAAAGTTACGGGGAAAAGAAAAAGGAAGGATCATCAGAAAACAACTGAAAATAATTTATGCTTTTTAAAAAATATCTCTGCTTCAGGTGGTTGTACAAAATGATTTCCTGATGCTCGGCATCTGAACGGCCCTGGACGCACTGCCCGGCGGGTCTGGGAGCCCCCAGCCCCGCAGGTCCCTCTGTCTCCAGCCCCCGTGCCAGTCCACGAGCTCGCTCACCGCTTTGGGACCCGGCCACCCTGGCTGGGTGGGAGGGAAGGGTCCCAGGCAGGGACCGGCTGGCACCTGGGTTGTGGGAGGAGCCCCCCTTTCCAGCTGGCCTCAGACCCCACGGTCTCTTGCCAAGCTGGACTTCAGGAAGCGCCACAGGGATCCCAGGCCCCTGAGGTTGCGGACCAGGCTGGGCTGTGCCCCTTTAAAAGGAACTTTGGTTCGAAGAGTCAAGGTACCCAGTGGGACGCATGGGTGGGGAGGGCCCCTATGCTGACACCCAGCTGCAAACTCAGCAAATCCTTCTCTGTACAGCAGTTGAACCTTTAAAGCAACGCCCGTGGTGGTGGAGGGGCATGAATATTAACAGACAGCAACCCGATGCCCTTCACCCTCATCAAAGCAGGAGCAGGTGCCTCTCCGCACAGAAACTACAGGGCCCCTCCAGGGAACGGCGGGGCTCCGTGGACCACGATCCTTAAACGCAAAGGACAGAGGAAGAAATACAACAACAACAAAATCCTCCAGAAAACCCTGAAAAGGGGAAACCCGGTGGGAAACAGAAAAGGGAAAACACTGTATCATTGGTTCACCATAACTGGCCTAGCAAACGTTAGCCACAGTGAAGAGGGGGCAGGCCCCTTCCCAGTTCTCCCACTGGCCCGGCCGGATACAGGGGGGCCGAGACAGGAGCCCTCCACCCACTGTCTCCAGGGGACAGCCTGAGCCTTACTTGGCCTCTGGGTTTCATCTAAACCAGCAGCCTTTCTAGAAGCCCTCCCTCAGGTACGTCCCAGGGACAGAGGCGCTGTCGCTGTGCCCAAGGCAAGGGGCAGAGCTATGAACTTGCCCGGCTCAGGGGGCAGGAGGAGACCGCCGGCCGTGCTTTGGGTGCCTCCTCTTCCTGTCTCTGCAAACACATCCATCGTCATGGCAACATCCAGGTACTGTCCCCTTCTGGGCCATGGCTCACAGGACCTCCCTTCTCCATCCGCATCCCAGGTTCATTCCAAACCTTTCTTGTGAACCTGTGGCCCCCAAGAATGCATGCTGCATCCCTGACAGCTCTTCAGGTGCCCACTTTCCAAGGAGTCTAGTCCAAGTCCAGGCGCAAGCCTAGAGGACCCCTAAAGGCAGGGGGTCTGCTTCACAGTGGAAAACACGCCTTGCAGAGTTTTTCTCTGGTGTTTCTCGAAAGTGCAGGAGAGAAAGGAGCAAACTGAAGGAGAAGACGCTTGCCAGCCTACAGAGCTGGTGTCAAAAAAAGTCCTTCCCAGACATCTGGAGACGCAGAACTTCTCAACTGTGTCATCGGACTGTCCTCTCCTCACCAGGAAACCTCAACATCCTTTTCCCAGACAAGAGCCAAACCCCGAACGCCAAGCATGAGGCTGTCAGGCAGGTTGGTGGCGAAGCGCCCTCGCCCGTGGACACAGTAGGTGGCTTCCTATGCCGTGAACCCCGAGATGAAGTGTGGCCAGAAAGGAGCTTTGCCCAGTGGCCCCTCTGTTTCGTTTCCTGGTTTCTAACTACCATCTGGAGGGAGGCCCGGCTGGTGGACCTGGGCACGGGGAAAAAGAACCATGTCGGCACAAGAGCATCCACTCACAGCGACTGGGACGGCACCGCTGCTCTTGGTGGAGCTGAGACCCCCCAGTTACTTCAAATCTGAGGGACCACCCACGAGGCTATGGTCCTTGGCTTGGGCTTCGGTGGTGAAGCCAACTGACCTCAGATGAGGGGGAACACCCTGCAGAGTGGAGGTGTGTTTTCTCCACCTCCCCTCTGGGGTCTGTGTATGTCAACGCAAAGGCCATTTCTATCCTGGGAATCACATGGTTCAGGCAAGTTGTGTCCAAGTCAGCAGGCAACCGCCTTGAGCTGTAAAGTCCCATAGTGGTCACAGAACTGGGAGGCAGAAGACAAAAACTTTCCGAAGGTCGATGCCAGGCTAGGGGCCAGGAGATGAACTGGAAGCGCCGACCTCAATCCTTTGGCTAAGCTAGAATTTGGATAGGGTGGATATTGCTGGAGATGTGGGGCCAGTGGCTGGGCCTGTGAGATCTTTGGGTTTTATCAAGCTGTTCACTGCAGCGGGCTCTGCACGAGTAAGCACACGGAGGGGGCACCTTGGTACAGCCTTTCCTGTTGGCAACGAGTTTCTGAAGAACCAGAGGCTGCAAGAGAGAAATGACTACCTGCCACCTTGTTCCCATATCTGGATGAGGCAGCCCCAGGAGACAGCTTTCCGAGACCTAGTGGCACTCACAACACATCTGCAGAGCACGCCAAGCCCTAAGGATTGAACTGAGGTGGAAAGGAGGACAGGACAGGAGGTGACACATATGACTAGATAACTGCAATTTAGTTAAGACTTAAATTTTTCTGAAGAGAAGAACGCTGATACCAGGGCGTGGTCCTGATGGCTCTGCAAGAAAGTGAAATGCCTATTTACTAACCGAGTGGCCCCGTAATGAGGCAACACCAGCACAGCTCCGCTCTAAGAGGGAGGATGGGCTCCAAGGCTTGGCTCCCACTGACCACACAGAACGGGTAGCTCCCATCCTCCGCGTGTGGTTCAGAGTGCCAGGTCGAGGACCCTTCCCCAGCAGCAAAGCAAAGTTGGAGGCCTTTTGCTGCAGGCATCTGTAACCCATCAGCAACCCTGCAGCCACCTTCTGGAACGCCCCCAAAAGTCTCATCGAAAAGTCTGCGGATGCTCCCATATACTCTAGGAAGCGACACGAGGTGACTGTCCAGTGCAGACGGAGGCTCTTCTGACGGTGTGACCCCAACTGGAAGTGCCGTGGAGTTAATACCCAGAACTTCTCCAGGAGAGGAAATGGCGTGGTGGTTCCTGAGACCATGGCTTGCTGGAGTGAATGGGGAAACGGCCCACTTTGATGCCTTTCAGTGTGTCCAAGACTCGGGAGGGTTAGTTCTCACGAGGCAAAGTGAGCAGGCTTGACACTTGGGACAGTGTTCCGGTCCATGATCCTAAGCCTTGAGTTTTCAAATCAACTTTACTTCCCCAACTTTACTGCCACGGACCGGGGGGAGAGGGCCGTCGTACAGTGCTTTTTGTAGTCGAGGTATCTCACAGTTGAACAATGTTTTGTTACTAGGAAGGGATGGAGTGGACTTGGTCAACCCCCAAGATGGTAGAATGTGCCCCCCACGATGGCAGGCATCCTCAGCCTTGGTGTAACCGTCTCTATCCCACAGCCGTGGGCACGGGGGGATATGGGACCACCAGCACTTCGTTCACTGAGAGGTGGGGTGGGAGGCTGAGCACTGATCCTGACGGAACCACCTCTTCAGAGGGGAAAGGGGCACCCTGTTGGCATTTAGGCCGTGTGTGGAACCTAAACTGCTCACAGAGAAACAAAGCCTGAAAACCTCTTTCACAGCATCAAGTTGAATGTGGCCTAATGCCATTTCACCCTCAAAACATCCATCATTTGGCCCACAAGGCACCGTGCTCAACTACTGTCCTAGAAGGAGGGCTGAGGCTCGCGTGGGGACCCCCCAGGGCTGTGGGCAGCGGACCCGCCGGAATCCCTGGGGAGAGGAGGCCGTGGGTCTGAGGTGCGATGGACGTGAACATGGATCAACTCAGGAGTCCCTGCTGAGCTGGAAGGGTCAGTGACGTGGCGAGTAGTGTAGTGCACTCTGGGTATAGAAATCAGACATTCGCAGGACCAGACACAGCGAGCCAGGAGGGCGGTCTTCTGCTTACATTCAGGAGAACTCCTAAGCCACATGCTTCCCTATGGCTTCCACCGAACCCCACGTCTGTGAAACCTGTGACTCCAACCTCACTCCTGGTCTCCAAACAGCACAACCAAGTTCATGGTCTTGGCTGTTCGAATACAGGAAAACTGGACTGTACGGGGAAGTCTAATGAAAACCTTAGGATACTGAATATACCACTGAGATGAGCTAGTTTACAGTGTGACTTGAGGAACAAAAAGGGCAATCAAAAAACAAACAAAAAAACCCCCTCCAAAATATAAGTTACAGACATTCAGTGCCTCCTAGCAGAGCCTAAATCAAATTTGAAAAAAAAAAAAGTAAAAACTGCTAAAATGTTAGGAAAAAAAATATTAAGGAGTGGAGACAGTATCTATACTTCTTTGAAAAATGTCTTTTTTTTCTATCTTATATTAAAAAGCAAAAGGTCAGCTTTATATTCTTAAAGTCTCCTTTCCTGATTTGGGGAGATAGATAGGTGTGTTTCTAAGGCGGCTGCCCCATGACACCCAAGGGTATCACAAAGGCAGCAGCTCAATGCCCTGAAGGTGAACGAGAACAAAGTCCAGTGCAGAAGCTGTCCATCTGATGCAGTTTGGAGAATCCATGGCAGGGCAGCCGGGGAGGGGTGGGGTGCAATAGGGTCAGGAAGGCTTGGGGACGGGGACGGAGGGCAAGGGGGACCACAGAGTGAAGGACAGAGAGCGTCAAGTCACTTCAGATCTCAGCTGCCTGAACGTTTTACATCAGTTTTCTACCAACCTGCGCACCTGAACATGGAGTCTTTTAAAGCCCCCTTACTGAGAAAAGGAGGTGAAACATCTTCCCTCTTTCCCAAACACTCAGCTTTCCTGACACGCCCAGTTTAATGCACACGCGCCCGCGAGCAGGCGTGCGTACATGCACCAGGGGAGTGTATGTGTGCATGCGTGTGCGACAGTTCTGCGGCCACACGGATGAGCAGAGCCGCCCACGCCCAAAGTGCGCACGCGTGACTGCGTACACACATGCACACACACACTGAAAAAAGCACTTAAGTTTCCAGGGGGCATTTATAATGAGGTCCACAGTGTTTAGAACTTAAATTCCTTTTTCTTTGTTTGCGACAGTGTTGTGTGGTTTTTTTTTTTTTTCCTAACGTCCTCTTCTTTTTTCTTTGTTCTTTCTTTTCATCCGGAAGTCTTAAAGCATGTTGGATTTCAGAAACATGAGTTTGTTCATATCTTCTGGACTGAGCAGTCGCCTCCTTTTGATGAGAAGTGCTTGTTCACACATATTTACACACCCGCTCCTGGCCCCCACGGCCGGCACCGCGAGGAGCCAGAAGGCGAGCTTGGCGAGTTTTGTGTGCTTTTGGGTCACGCACGACCAGTACTGGAAGAGATCCGGGGTGGCCTGGAAGAGGGGTTCCTGCAGGTAATCGTACACTTCCTTCTTCCCGAGCCGGTCGTCCTCCTGGGCGGCGGGGTTCTCGCCGGGGGCGGAGCGGGGCTTCTTGGCGGCGGGCTCGAAGTCGGCCTCCTCGGTCCAGGACTCCTTGACCTCGTTGATGAGCTCACACACCTTGCCGATGATCTCCTCGTGCTGGTAGGGCGGGACGGGCCGCAGCTTCTGCTGTGGGTCCAGGATCATGGCCACCTTGTGCGCCGGGTGCACCTTGAAGTTCTCCTTGAGCGCCTCCAGGAAGAGGTGGCAGAGCTTGCTGACGGTGCCCGCGTCGTTGGCCTTGGCCGTGAACAGCTTCTCCAGCCTGACGTAGGTGGGCAGCACCAGCTGCAGGGTGGGCTGGCTCTCGTTGCTCAGCTCGATGACCGCCTGCTTCACCGGCGTCAGGATGGCGGCCAGGTTGCTGAGCAGGTGCTTGTTGAGGCTCTGGATGAGGTTCATCTTCTTGGCCCGGCTGTAGAACTCGCAGATCTGCTCGTAGCGCTCGTGCACCAGCAGCAGCGAGTCCGTGACCGAGTTCCAGCAGGGCGGCGGCGAGGTCTCCTCCAGCGAGCCGAAGGTCTCCTTGGCGAGCCCGGTAGAGCCCGCCAGGTCCTCGCACACGTTGAGCAGCTCGATGACCTCGTGCATGCTGCGGGCCTGCAGCGTCCGCTTGCTCAGCACACTCTGCACCACCGAGTTCAAGGCACAGGCTGAGCAGCGAAGGCACATGCCGGCCTTGGAGAAGGCGGATGCGCTCACCCGGCAGTCTGTCACGTACACTGTCCTGATCTCCGACATCACGAACTCTGACAGCACGTTCTGCACCCAGTGGTGCACCAGGTCGCCGCTGTCGCGAATGTCCGCGCCCTTCACGCCCAGCACGTAGCTCTTGATGTGGTTGCCCTCTGCCTGGTAGGCCGTGAGGATGTAGCAGGAGTCAGGGCCGACGCTCTGCGAGTGACAGGTGACGCCGATGCCCAGGCAGGCGTTGCTGCCCAAGGCGCACGTCACCTTCACCTTCACCTGGTTGTACATGCGCGGCAGGTGCTTCAGCGCCAGCGTGTTGAAGTTGCCCAGGATCTCGGTGACTGAGAAGGCCCCGTAGCGGGCGCCGCTGTCCACCAGCGTCTGGGCCAGCTTCAGGAACTCCTTCCCGCTCACCACGCTCAGCGCGCCCAAGTCGGCACACATGACCCGCAGCAGCCGCTCTGCGATGTTCTGCCGCTCCTTCTCGGGGATCATGCTGTTAGGTGTTAAACCACTGGTCGTGGCTGGCAGGGGACACAAAGAGAGGTGTGATTAACCCTGCCAGTCAAGGCTCCTTGGTCTGGCAGTGGCCTAATACTCAAGCATCTAGTATTAGGAATTATGAACAGATTTCATCTTCCACACAAACTGATGGTCTTGGCAGTCTTTAATATGTGACAGTCTCACAGGAATAAAGTTCTGTGATTGATTAGTAATGCCTGCCGTGAGCATGGGAATAGACTGTAGTGATGTGTGTGCAAATACTTGTTGCATGTCATTCACCTTGACCTCTGAAGCCAACCAGTCTAACCTCTTCCTCAATATAGGAATGGCCTCTAACACAGGAGTCGCTAGTGAATAAGGTACATGAGGCCACAGTGTCAGGAAAAAGCAGACAAGAGAAATCGTGGAGAGTGGATTTGGATTCTAATTCTGATTGCCACTAATTTGTGTTCTCTGACCACAAACAGATCACCTCTCCCCAGGCTGCCTCCGTCCATCCCACGAGGTCAGAATTCCCACCAATGAGGTCTCAGGCATGAAAGTGCTTTGGAAACCATGATGCGTGGTCTTGCACCACCATGGGAGACACACAGGGGTGGGGATGTGGGAGCAGAGGGGAACAAGCTGGGGTTGGGGGGGAGGCCTCTGGAGGTGGGTGTAGTAGACTTCCACCAGTCCCCGGGTCCGCCCAGGAAAGACCTACTGTTGTTGGCACTGTTCCTCTGGGCCTGGGGCTTCCACTTCTCCTCCACGACAGCAGGGGGCGATCGGGACTGGTTGGAGGCGATGTTGTTCTCGTTGTCTGCTGCGGGCACAAAGGGGACAGTGTGTTTCCCTGTAGTGCAAGAGGCCTGCCGGCTCACCAGGCGAGAAGAACTAGAGCATGCGGGTGGAGGCAAGACTGGCCTCTGGGACTCAGGCCTGGGTTCAAATCCGGGCTCCTAAGACAACTATCTGAGGCCCGCAAAGCCTCATTTTCATCACTCGGAAGAATGAAGATAATCACAAATTGCCAGAGGGACTAACAAGAGATAATACAGGAAAAGAGCTGGGTACAGTGCTCAGCATGGAGTAAGCACTCAGGGAATGGGAACCGCTGTGTCCCGAGTCTGGCTGGGAGGCACCCCCAACACCCCCGAGCACAAAGTTCTAGCTCTGAGACCCGGGAGGGGGTGCCCATTACACTCCAAGAGGCCAAAAGCATCTCACGCTCTTGCTTCTTTAAAGTGTGCCTTTTCGTCTTTTTAGTATATTTTAAACTTAAATGAACACAACAAAACCAAAGCCCTATATGACATAAAGTATACAATTCTCAACCCCCTCGTTACATGTAGGAAGTGAAAACCAAAGTCTAGATACAGGAAAGGATTTGCCCAGGAAAACACAGAAAACCAGCAGCAGAGCTGGGACGGACATCCCAGGTCCCCCAGTTCCTAGCTGCCTCCTCCCTGCACTTCCCTAATTTTTGTTAACGTGTGCAGCCATTTTCAGTTTTAAGTAATGGGCAGGTACCATCCTCTATGCACGGTTACTCCTTGACATTTCTGTAAGATCATATCTGAGTGGAAATGGTCTGAGTTACATGCCTGCCATCACAAATGGCCACAGAGTCTTTTATCACACAATATTCCACAAATTGCTTAACTACACTCCAAGTCCTAAGTTTCTGGGCTGTGCCATTTACAATATTACTATTCTGCTACGAACCTACTTGCCTAATATTCTAATATTGTTTCTCTGTGCTCTTTGGCTGTTGTTGTGGGTGTATTTCCTTGAGACATCATCTTACAGAGAGAATTCACAACCTGAGGATATGAATGGGTCAGTGGCCTCTGTTCAGGGTTGCCAGACATCCTTCTTCCATTCTTCTCAGTTAAAGGCATCAGGCCTTAGAGGTCAAGGCCACACTATTCATACCTAGAGAAGAGGCTTCCCCAACTTCTACATATTCAGTCAGCTCTGCAAGACGAGTCAAGAGACTCTGGGATGTGCACTCAAGGAATAGTTTGCAGCCACTAGAAAGGTGGTCATGTAGACTGGAGCAACATGGGAAAATGCATAAGATAATGAAAAGCAAGCTCTAATCATAATGTCATATGTATTATTTATAGATACATATTTTAGACTCACAAGTCAAATAACGAACACATCTATGCATCAAAAAAAGATGGGGAGGGGACTTTCACTTCTGCCCTCCAGATGCAAACAACTGCTAATCATGATGATATATGACTGCTTTCATACAGGCAACCCAGGGTCTGATCCCAGAAAAAGAAACAAATGCGGTGAGCTCTTTGACTGTGCAACTTACTGCCTGGAAGCAGTTTTCAAGCTGCTGCGTAGGACCAGGGAACTGAACAGAGCCCAGCGGTCCCCTTGAAGAGACAGAGATTAAAATTCAGGCAGGCCCAAGACAGCTAGAATTTACAGGGAAAAGTACCAAAGAGGAGGGAGTTACAAAAAGAGAGAGCTCTGGAGATTTCAATGGGGTTCCCTGGAGCCTTTGCTGTAGCTAATCTGCCTATGCATAGGGTCGAATTCCACAGGACTAGGGCAAGAATCACTAAAATGCAGTAGGCTGATAACTCCCAGGCTCCCACGTGGGGGAAATCATCTGCATCCCCTCCACCAGAATGGAAAGACCTCAATGCATGAGAAATACTATGGGGCTAAATTAGCCATAGACTAAGCCACTAGATCTGCCCTAATACATTGAAAGAGCACGCCTCCAAAGTATTCAGGTGATCCCAGGTAACAAACTGTAAGCCAAGCTTAATACTCCTAAAAAATACAACATCTAGCAGCTAACACCATAAAATTCACAATGTCATTCATCTAATAAGTACCAGACATTCAAAATAGTAGGAAAATATGACCTATAACATAAGGAGACAAACCAATCAATAGAAACAGACCTAGAAAGGACAGAGATGATGGCATTAGCCAATAAGGAGCTTACAACAGCTGCTGAAAAAAAAATCAGTGAAGCTGGAGACAGAGCAAAAAGACTACCCAATGAAAACCAGAGAGAGTAAAAGATTGAAAATAAATAAATGGAGCATGGACAATGTTAAGTAGTCTAACATAAATATAATTGGAGTCCCAGAATAAGGGGGTGAGGCAGAAAAAATATTTGAAGAAATGGCCAGAATCTTTCCAAATTGGAGGAAAACCATAAACCCAGGTTCTAAAAGCTCAACTGACCCCCAGCAGAAATACATAAAGAAAACACCACCAAGGCACAGTATCATAATCAAATTGTTGAAAACCAATGACAAGAGAAACTCTTAAAAGCAGCCAGAGAGGGGGAAAAGTTAAGTACAGGGGAACAAAAATAAGAATAACAACAGACCCAGCAGGTAACAGAACAAACTATTAAAAGAGAATGTCAACCTAAAATTCTAAATGTCCATCGATAGATGAATGGATAAAGAAGATATTTATATTATATTTATAATCTAAATTTATATAATATAAATTATATTTATACAATGGGATATTACTCAGCCATAATAAAGAATGAAATAGTGCCATTTGCAGCAACATGGATGGACCCAGAGATTATCATACTAAGTGAAGTGAGCCAGACAAATACCATATAATATCGTTTATATGTGGAATGTAAAATAATGATACAAATGAACTTATATATCTATACAAAACAGAAGCAGACCCACAGACACAGAAAACAAACTTATGGTTACCAAAGAGGAAAGGCGGGGAGGGATCAATTAGGAGTGTGGGATTAACATATACACACTACTATATATAAAACAAACAACAAGGACCCACTGTATAGCACAGGGAACTATACTCAATATTTTGTAATAACCTATAAGGGAAAAGAATCTGAAGAAAAGATATGTATGTATGTATAACTGAATCACTTTGCTGTGCACCTGAAACTAATGCAACATTATAAATCAACTATACTTCAATTTAAAAAAAACACACAAAAAATTAAAAATAAAATAAGGGAATTCTAAATCCAGTGATACTATCTTTCACAGATGGAGGTAAAATAAGGACCAAAAAAAAAAAAATCATACCTGCAACTATAAGAAATGTTAAAGGAAGTTCTTTAGGTATTAAAAAAAAATGACATCACCCCCCCCAAAGAGAAAATAACATCAAATAAGAATCTGGATCTAGAGAAAGAAATAAAGAGTTCTGGAAATTGTACATGAATGGATATAAAAAGTGTTTTCCCTCATTTTTAATCTCTTTAACAAGATAACTGACTGCTCACTGGAAAAAAATAACAATGAATTGTGGTAATTATACGTAGAAATAAACCATATGTTAACAATAGAAGAAAGACTAGGGAGGGGAAATAGAAGATTGTGTTGAAAGTTTTTCACACAATATGAAAAGGATAATAGCCTTTAAATGTAGACTTGATAAGTTAGAAATGCATAGTTCAAAACCCAAATAGACTATAAAAAAAACAACAGTTATAGCAAATAAATCCATTGTAGAGATAAAAATGGAACCATAAAAAATCCTCAGTCCAAAATAAGGCAAAAAATTAGAGAAAAAGGAATAAGCAACAAGTGAAACAATTAGTAAACAAATACGAAAATGGCAGATTTAAACCCAGTAGTACTGAAATCACATTAAATTTAAATGGTCTCCACATTTCAAATAAAAGTAGACTTTGTCATACTTAATAAAAAAGCAAGACCCCATGATATGCTATCTATAAGAAACCTATTTAAATATGAAGACATGGATAAGTTAAAAGTAAAAGGTTAAATAAAGGTAAAACATACAAACAGTAATGAAGAGAAAGGTGGAGATGCTTGTGACAGTATTACAGAAAGAACAGACCTCAGAACAAGAAATATGATCAGGGGTGTAACAAGAGACCCTACATAACGATAAAGTGGTCGAATCACCAAGAATATATACTAATCCCAAGCGTGTGTGCAGGTGATAAAAGAGCATTAAAACACATGAAGCAAAAGCTGAGAAAACTGAAAAAAGAAAGAGATAAACCTAACAACTGGCAATTTCAACTGTCTTCTCTCAGTAATTGCTACTCTCATGAGAAAAGAGAAAAAAAGACTGAATATAAATGAACAGAGTGGACAACACCAAGCAGTCCCATATACATATAACTAGCTTACCAGAAAAAGGAGGTGGAACAGAAAAATACTGAAATCATATAAAGTATAGCCTCTGACCATAACTGCATTAAATTAGAAATCAACAACAAAAAGACATTTGGAGAAATTTCAACTATTTGAATATTAAACATCACAGTTGTAAATAACCCATAGGTCAGAGAAACATAAGGGAGATCAGAAAATGTTCTGAACTAAACATTAAAACATAACATTTCAAAATTTGTGGGATACATCTAAATAAATGTTATTTATTTATAACAATGTTATTTATAACATTAAATAATTATATTAGAAAAGAATAAACATTTAAAATCAGTGTTATAAAGCTTCTACACTAAGAGATCTGAAGAGTAAGTTTAAAGAGTAAGTTGAGTCTAACATAAGCAGAAGAAAGGAAATAATACAGATAAAAGCAGAAATTAATGAAACAGAAGATGGATAAACACAATAGAGAAAAATCAATGAAACTAAAAGCTAATTTTTTGTAGAGATCAGTAAAATTGATAAACCTCTAACAAGAAACATTAAAAAAAGAAAAAGAGGACACAAATTATTAGTAGCAGGAGTAAAAGAAGGGGACATCACTACAGATGCTACACATATCAAAGGGATTAAAATGATTATGAATAACTTTAGGCCAATAAATTCAACCATTTAAGTGAGGCAAAAAAAAACA